AGCCGTCAGCCTTACTCGGCTTGCGGTCTTTGTCCCCCGAATGACGAATGGAACAACCCTCCGCAGTTGTTCTTTGTGTCTTATCCCGACGGCAAGCGCACCGAGTTTGAGTTGGAGGGCATTCCCGAGTCTTTCCTCGGGGGTGTGTGGAGCGTGATACAGCAGATACTGACCGCAAAGTTCACCGCTAAGAAAGACGGGATTTTGAAGGACTTGTCGGCGTTCATTGACGCAATACAGCGCAACGACCGACAATTCCTCGCCGAGCGTCTGTTGTTCAGCGCAACGGGCGACTATGCGGGGCGCAATGACTTCATTTTCACGGACGCTCGGGGTGAGAACATCGCCACCCGAATTATGGACTTATACACGGATTACACCGCCGAGAAACGCTTCCAAAACTGCAACGGGTTTGACGTACGGGACGCCGATTAACAACACTAAACACTAAACACAAAAAAAACCGACAGACGGGAGCCTCATCGCTCCCGTTTTTTTTTGTGCCGTTTCAGAGCGGAATAGGGGAGGTGTGGCTTGTCGGCTGACCACAAAGACAACGACGGCTCACACCCCCGAAAAAGGGCGCAAGCCGTCGCTTTCAATCCGTGTCCGTCTTGGTCTGTCTTGCCGTTATCGGTGGTCGCCGTTGCCGTCTATGACATTCCTCTTCTTGCGGTCGCTGAGTTTGCCAAGATTGGCGTTTGCAACCTCCTCGGCTGAAAACCCGAGAACCTTGCACAATCCGACGGTCTGCCACATCACGTCACCAATCTCAAACTTCAACTCGTTGCGGAGTGTTTCAAATTCCGCCTCACGACCCTCAACGGGGTTGATGTTGCCCTCGGTGTCAACGGCTACGAAGCCTTTTCTGATACCCTTTGCGACCTTGCTTGAAATCTCGCCAACCTCGCCGACTAAGTTCAAAGCCATATAGGTGAAGTTTGCGGATGTTGGGAGGCAAGTGGTCATCGCTCCCTCTTGATACTCGTTCATTCCGAGTTCTCCTTTTGTTGTTTCGTTACACATTTTTTAAAAGATTATTTATTTTGTTATCGTTTCGCCTTGCCTTTGCCGTCGGCATCGGGTTCGGCTTGTTGTCTTTGCTTTATGAATATGGTTGCCTCCTTGTCCTTGTCGGTTAGGAACTTGCGGACGCTGTTGATTGCGGTGCGCTCATTAGCCGACACCAAACGGACGGCTCGGACTATGCGGTCGAAATCGTCAAGACCCAACTGCGCCTCGGGGTCAGTAATTCCGGCGTTCGCCTTCTGAACCTTGCGGTTCAAGGTACACCAAGTGGAGCGGAGCAGTTCCATTCCCGTCGTTGGGACTATGTTCAGAACCTCCATAACCCTCTGCAAGGGGGCAAGTCCCAAAGTCCTCGCCCCGTCAAGAAAGGTGTATAGGTTGTTCGGCGGAATACCCGCCTCCTTGGCTACGTGCAAGGGTTTTAGTCCTTGACGTGCCATTTCTGTTTGAATTAGCGTTCTGAACATCTACTCGTCCTCCTCTTTGATGTAAACGGGTGCGCCGTCAATCTCGCCCCCCTTGATGTTGTCTTTTATCCATACCTCTGCCTCCTCTCGGCTTGGGAATGTGCAGGGCAACCACGAAAATTTGCCCGTGGTGGATATTGTGTAAAGTCTGTATTTCATTGTTTAAATATGTTTAGTAAAGTTCTACAAAATTTTTAAAAAGTCCGATTATCAAGCGCACGGCTTGGAATGGGTGGTCGTCGGTGTGTGAGTCAAAACCCGACACCGCCCAACGGCTGTACTCGGTCAATCCGTCGGTCGCCGTCACGTAGATTGTCGCACCCCTTGACGACACCCCCGAGCGGAATATGACGGGGCGACCTTGCCCGTCGTGTTTCGTTTCTGTGTACGACGGCTTCAACCGCCTCGGGAGCAGTGGCTTGTCGTACCTTACCGCCCTCAGACCATTGGCGGAAACGGCGGTGATTTCTGTAACTAAATCCATTTGCTTGCAGTTTTTTAAGACCACCGAGGCGTTGGTGATTGGCTCCGGCGTGTTGTTTTTCTTTGGCATATTTTATTCAGTTTTGTCGTTATAAACTATTGTGAACACAATGCGGACGTTGTTGTATCCGCCATTGTTATGCTGATGCGCCAAGTAAGTTGTCGGGGTTATGCTGACTACGTTGTGCTTGGCGCAGAAGGCGTTTACCTTCTTCTCAATCTCGGGCGCTTCTGTCTTTGTTGAAAAGGTAGGTGTTTTATCCTTTTCGTGGTTAGGGTTATATACGTTTTTCGATATATCGCCCTCAATGATTTTGACTTTCATTTTTCGCTTGTTTTACGTGAAACAATCCGCCCTTCGGCTTGTCATAGCCTCCGGGCGTTGTGATAGACTACTCGGCGCAAATCAAAGCGGTTAAAGCCTTGTCGGCTATCGCCTTATGGCTTTTGCCGTTGATGTTGGCAACAAAAGCCTGCTTCTTGTCGATTTCTACAATAACGCTGTTCTCGTCGAACTTAAAGAAGTGAGCGATTTTGCCATCACTTGTCAATGACCATCCGAGGTATCTGTTAGTACCAAGGATTGAATCGGGGATATATGCGACCATTTTGTCGCCCGCAACAAGTCTTTTCGACTTGTCCTTCTCCTCCTCAGTCTTGAACCCGAGGCAAACTGAATGCTTGAGGTCTAAAGTTGTTATATTCACAACCCAAGGCTTGTTTGGGTTGAATATCTCGTCAAAAACTTCGTCAAATTTTGCGTACATAGCGTTAAAATTTATAGGGTTAAACTTGTTTTATCTGTTTGTTTTGATATTGCAAAGATAATTCAAGTTTTTAAATTATGCAAATCTTTTTAAAACTTTTTTCAAAATATTTTATAACTTGCTATATTTCAACAACTTACAAGCCTGAAAATACTACGTTTTTTATACTATAATCCAGAGTATAGGGGTTATTTTCGGGCGTTTTCGGGCGTTGCTTTCGTTTGCCTTGCCGAATGTATCAAAGCCGTTTAAAATGCCGTTTAAGGCTCAAAAATAGCCGTTTTCGGGGCGTTTCGGCGTGGTCTGTTTCTGTTTGCCTTGCCGTTTCGTGGTCTTGAAACCTATATTTTAAAGCCTTGAAAATAGTATAAAATTTGCATTTTGTTTATCGTTATAACTTATTGATTTTATGATACTTATAAAATATTTTGAAAAAAGTTTGAAAAATATTTGCAAATTCAAGTTTTTAATATTACCTTTGTATCAACAAAACAAAACAAGTTTAACCCTTTTAAATTTATCATTATGAAAACATACAACAACACAAAGGACATTATCAACGAGAGAATTTATAACGCCTACAACGAGAAGGCGGGTTTCGATGAGGACGGCTTTTTCGGTGAGCCGTCAAACGACGACATAGATTATATCGTTTGCGGCGACGCACTTCTTGACGAGGACGAGTACGAAATGCAGGAGGCAGACTACGACGACGTTCGCAATCGCTTTTATGAGCGCATCAAGGAGGATGCTAAGGACGCTGAGGAGTCCGAGGAGCATTATCGTTCGCTCCTCAATTTCAGATAACAAACAACGGCGGGGAGGTCAGACCAAACCGCCCAATGTTTCACGTAAAACAAGCGAAAAAAATGAATATTACAATTTCTAAAATCAGAGTTTATAACGCCTTCGGTGTAGAGTCTTTCAAAACCGCTGATTTTGACCCGGAAGACGAAACCCACACGAAGGCTTTGGAGGCTTTGCTTTGCCTTCGTGATATTGAGCCGACAACGCCCGGAGTATGCTCCGTCTTTGCAACCTTTTTGGTTGAGCGTCTTGGCGGTTATGTTGTTCAAACCTTGAGCCGTATGGTCAACAAGGACGGCGTTGTTGAGTACGAATACAACGACGGCGACGACTTTAAAAACGACAAAAAAGGATATAAGGCAATCGCCGAGTATATCGCAAAAAATCGCTAAAACAAAATATTTTTATATGATATACAAGCAACAGAACACGGACTACTGCCGAACCTTGGCAGAAATGCGCAAGGCGTTGAACGAGGTCGGCTACTACCACCTGACATTCCCCTATGTGTACGCCTTTGAGAATGAGGAGGCGGAGAAGCGTGGGGACTATCACCACCGCTATCATATAGACCAAAAGCCGAACGGCGAGGTCAAACTGACAAAATGGGATTTCTAATGGACACAACAGAAAGAAAAGGATTGAAGAACGGCGACATCATCACCCACAACGGGTGTCGCTACGTGTTCCGTGAGTACGTCACGGACTTTTTGCTGAAAAGCGACTCGGCGATAATCGAAAACCCCGACACGGGCAAGAAGTTCGCTGTGGACGTATATGTAATTCTAACAGAATTTAATTTAGAAGACAACAATGGCAATCATCAGTAGCAAGCCCCCTATCATTCCGCACCTCCGCTCGGTCGTCGCCTATGTTACGGCTGACAGAATAAGGCGGAGCAAGACCCCCGAAAGGCTGAGACGGGCGGTTGACGAGTTGGAGGCGGGCGGTTATCCGTATTCCGACGGCGAGGCTCTCCTCCTTGCCGTGGAGAACGCCCAAAAGAAAGCCGTGGAGGCGGTCAGAAAAAGGACTGCCGAGGCGTTGCCCCCGTTTCTGAGCAACTATGGGGCGTTAAGGGAATATATCAAGTCCCGTTTAATCAACATCACGCCCCGTCTGCTGACCCTTTGCGGTTTCAGAAAGGTGGATAGCGAGGGCGATTATTGGAGGCTCAACGCCGACGGGTACGCCGTGATATACCACTTCAGCAATAACTACCTCCGTGTGATTTTCGACGACCGCACACGAAAGGAACTGCATCAGCACCTCGTCCGTTGGCGCAGTTTCAACTACTTTTTCAAGATGCACCGATTGCCTCACCGCTTGTGTGAGGAATAAACATAAAAGAAACGCCCCGAGGGTCATTTTTCGGACTTCTCGGGGCGTTTCTGCGTCGGGCGGTCTGTGCCGTCTATTCGGGGCGGTTGCCCCATTTTCTCATTGCTTATGTTGCTTTTTCGGGTTTTGTGTCTGTTGTTGTTATCGGCAACGCCCTCAGAGTAGGGGCGAGGCTTGTGAACATTGCGATAATGTCAGCCTTGGAGGGCATATTCACGTCGTCAAGACGGAACTGCCACCATTCATACGTCGGCTTGCCGTATTCGGGTTGTGTCCCTTGTGCCGTCGTGTTTCGGTGCGCCGTTGTTTCGGTCAGTTCTATGTAGTACACGCCCGAGCGTGTCTTGTACCTCTCGCAACTGATAGAACGCCTTGTGTCCGCACCTTCGGGGGTCAGTTCCTCCACGAAAGTCCCGATTATCGGCTCGGCGGTCTTCGGGATTTTCACCAACGTAAAATGCCCTATTCGGGGATTATAAAGCGGTTTTTTGCGGTTTTCTGCATTTTTTTTGGGTTTAAATGTTGTTTTTCTGTGATTTTAGACGCTCACGGATAGCCGTAAGACGGGAACAAAACTCCGAAATTGTCAAGACCGTCTCCGTTTTCTTTCGCTTGCCTATGCTATGTGTCAGCGTTGCGTTGCCCGTGGCTAAAAGCGCCCGTGCAAATCCCGAATTTCGGGACAGAGCCTCAAACGCCCTATCCAACAAAGCCTGATATTCCTCGCTCTCACGCTTGTATTCTACACCTTGCCAATATAGGGTCTGTGTCTGCCACCACTTTTTTCGCTTGCCCTTGAATTTGGCGGTCTTGCCCACCAATGTGCAGACGTGCCTCTGCATCTCGGGGTCTTTGAATTTCAGCGATTGAAGGAAACCCTCCATAGATGCGCACTGCACACCGTCAATCTCAAAGGGATGAGGCGCAAAATTCGACAACGATGCCTCGGGGTATCCTTCGCCACTTCCTATGTCCATAATTTTATTTTTTTTTAAAGTTGATACTAAACTAAAACGGCAAGTCGTCATTGTCCGCCGTCAGTTGGCTCGTTTTTTTTCTTTTGAACAACCGCCCGAGCCAAGACCCCAAGCGATGCCACGCAAGGCGCACGGGTTCTATGAGGTACTCACGGAATATGTCGCAGTTGTTTCTGTTGTTGTTGTTGTTGTCATAACTTCAATTTTTTAAGGGTTAAACAATAAAAAAGTATCAAACAACCCGACCTTCTTGCCTTGTTGTTTGATACTGCAAATATAATTCAAGTTTTTTAATCCCGCAAGCCTTTTAACATTTCTTAACGGATTTTAACATTTTAGCCGTCAATGCTTGAAAGACAGTCGGTCGCCTCGGTCGCCGTGATTTTGACAACCTCGTCAAGGATTGCGTCGAACGTTTCCTGCGTTTTCTTAGTGTAGGATTGCTCAATTTTCAGACCGAAGTACAGATTGTCCACGGCTCGGCGGATTTTGTGCGTGCAGAAGTCCACCGACACGCCACGCCCCTCCTCGGGTTTCCAAGCCATCAAGCCTTTGACCTCGCCCGTATCCTCGTCCTTTCCGCCGACGAAGGCGAGAAGTGATAGGATGAGGCAGACCATAGCCACGGGAGTCTTAAAGAATTTCAGACCGCCTCGGGCGATGTAGTCATCCTCGGCGGAGCCAAGGAACTTGTCAATCACGCCCCCCTCGTCCATAATCAGACGCTGGGCGATAGCCTCGCAGTGTTGGTATAGTTGCTTGCCCTTGTGGTGGGGGAGTGCCTTGCGTCGCCACAACTCAAACTCCTCACGGATTTTAGGGGCGAGGTCTGCGTTGCATTCCAACTGCTTTTTAAATAATTCAATTTTCTGCTTGCTGAACCCGAAACGGGGGTTGTCTATCTCGTCGGTCAGGTCACGATATACTCGCCAAATTTTCAGCGACAACATACGGGCGATACCGACGCACACCACGGAAACGTACTCACTGAAAGACACGATGCCGTTAAGTTTGCGGTACTCGTTGACCGCCATAACCTTTCGGGCGGTTGCCCTTTCCTTGTTTCGCCCGAATATTGATGATTTTGTTTTTTTCGCCGTGGCTGACTTTTGGATGTCGGCGACTGAACGCCCGGACTTCAAAGCCTCAGCGACTGCTTTAATGCTTAGTGCCATTTTCTTAAAATTTATATTATTCCTTAAACTTCTCGGGGTCGTAGTTAGATGCGACTATCGCCGTCATAAGGCAATAGGACGCCATATCCTTGAGGGTCGCCACAAGTCCCTCAAAGTTCGGGGACTTTCCGCCGTCGGTGTTCTCCGCCATCTGCTTTGCCCTATTCATTTTGTGGGCAATCTGCCCGAGGCACGGGATAAGACCCACGCACTCGCCGAAGTATTGGTCGAACTGACGGGCAAGGTTGCCGAACGAGTCGCCGTAGTCTGCGTTCTTACGGCGGAACATATCAACCAAAATCGGCTTTATCTCGTCGTACAAAACCTCCATTTTGTCGGCGGTAATGATTGAATTATTTTTTAACGTTAGTGCCATATTTCAATATTTTATTATTTTGCTTTCGGGTTTTCTTTAGGCTCAAACAACGGGCAAGCGGTGTCTTTCAGTCTGACCTTGCGCAAGCCGTTGACGGCGTGTTTGGTCTTACGCTTTTCGCAATAGTGGAACACCTTTGCGCCACACTGCCACGCCTGCGCAAACTTGCAGTCCTTGCAGTGGTCGCTAATGTCCTCGGTTTCTATGGTTGAGCCGTCCCAAGTGTAAAAGCCGTCCGAAACTATTTTCTTTGCCTTTTCCTTGGCTGTTCCCACGTCCTCCGCCTCTATCGTGAGGGCGGTGTCGAAAGTCTTTGTGACCCGTATTCTGTATGCCATTATAGTGATTTTATAATGTTAATAATCTTTTGTTGTTTTGCTTGGATGTCTTTCCTTGGACTATTAGAGAACTCAAATTGAACACACTCGGCGATTTTGTTCTTATTCGCCAACACAAGGCTGAAATCATCAAACGGCTCTAATATTGCCGAGGTGTCTGCCTTGTTGCATATTCCGCTGTATGAACAGCCGAAATCTCTCGTTTCTTTCATTTGCTTGTAAAAGAAACATTTTTTGCAACTATCGCTTTGAGTTTCGACAAGTCTGAACCACTTGCCGTCAATCTGAATAATTCCTTTTGTTTTGGTCATTTTATTCTATCATTGCGTCGTATATGATTATCTGAGGAAGTTTCCCGTCCTCCGGCTCTATCACCACCTTGCCCACGTCTGCGATAAGGCGGTGGAGGTCTTCCAACGTGGCGAGTTCTATCTCATAATGCCACGTACAAGACCACTTGGTAATGCGGTCTATCGCCGTCTGAGCCTTGGGGTGTGGCTTTTTGCCGTCGGCAATCGCAAGCCACGACTCGGGGGTGTTGTTCTCGTACCGAAAATCGCTATATTCGCCGATAATGGTGTCCGAGGCTCGGTTTATTGTGTATTTCATTTCGGGGTGTTTTAACGTGTGAACTGCTCAACAAACCCTGCAAATCTTCGACAAAGAAGTATTTCAAGGGTTTAACTTTGTTTGTTTTGATACTGCAAATATAATTCAAGTTTGCAGACTGAGCAAATATTTTTAGTTAAAAAGTGTTAAAAGAAATGTTAAAATTTTAAGGCGTTGCAAGTCGCCTCGTAGAGTTCAAGAAGGCGCTTGTTTCGTGCGATGTCTGTATCGCTCGGGAGTTCGTCCGCAAAGTCGCAGAGAAAGTACTCGTCGCTGAGTATTCCGCTTTTAGGGTCGTAAGCCGTGACGAACGCTCCGCTCGGATGATAATCCACGGCGACAACGGCGACGGGATGCGAGGGGGCGCACTGCTCCCACGGAAGAGGGGAGAAGTCCATCCGTGTGTCGCTGAGGGTGAGCCTCGGGGTCTTTATCCTTTCGGGGTTCGGGTTGCTGATTGTTCTTGTCATTTTTTTTGCGTTCGTTCGGTCAGTCAAGTGTTATAGTTCCGTTGATAAGACCGCCCGCAAGTTCGGCGATGTCCTTGTTGGTCGCCAACTGAGGCACGACTTCAACGAACGCCTTCTTCGCCGCCTTATCCTTGATTTTGATAAGGTAGTAGAAGACGATTATGTGTCGGGGAATGTTCTCAATGTCGGTCATTCTGCTTTCTTTTATCGTTCAAGACGAGTGCCTTTATCTCGTCGTATGTGGGGCGTTCCTTGTATCGGGTGAGGTCACGTTTCAAGCCTCCGTCGCCGACAATCCCGATGCGGTTCGGCGCTTGAATATCCGCACCGCAAGACCAAAAGTAAATGGACACGCCCGTTTCGGCGTAAATCTGCCGTTTTATCGTCTTTGTGTCAAAGCGGAACGGGACGCAATCCACACCGAAACGCCGTGTCATTCTGTTGACGGCTACCTCCGCCATACTGAAACGGACGACCTTCTTCTCCCGAACGTCGCCACTTCTGCCCGCTATGGTCACGAAATCGCCGCACTCGGGAACGGAAACCTCCACCTCGCCCGTGTCGTTGCTGACCCGGTGGACTTTGTAGTTCGGGAAGACTATCGTCCCGTCGGGTTTGCGCTCAAGACGTGGCTCTGTCCAAGACCACCATTCTTTCAAACTATCTACCATTGCGTCGGATTTAGATGTTGGGGATTATTAGTTTTTTCATTACGTCCGCCATATTGGTGGCGATTATGAAGAGGGCAATGTCCTTCTTGTAGTATTCAGCCTCCTCCTTGCCCATATCGTCAAAGCGGAATGTGTGGGTGGCTATGCGGTTGCCGTAGCCATCGTATATCTGCCACCATTCGTAACTTTTCTCCCCGTCCAACTTCTCGGGGGTCAGTGTTATGTCCTTGTCCTTGCAGAAGGAACGGACAAACTCGGCGAATTTTATTTCAGTTTCTGTTATTGCCATTTTTTATTCTGATTCGATTAACATATTTTTTACCAATTTATATCGGCGAAAAACTCAATCTCCGCCTCGGCTTGCACCTTGGGGTCGTTTGTGTTTTTAAGCCAATCCTGACACTGCTTATAAGTGCCACGAAAACGCTGAGCGCCGTTGATTATTACTGCGTATATTTTCATTTTTTTAACTTTAAAAGTTTTTATTTTGCGCTACCAATATATTCAATTTCTTTTATTTCGGCTTGCCTTGATTTTTCGCCGTAAAGCGTCGAACATATAAGCCTCGGGGTGGTCGTCCGTCTTGACGATTATGCCCTCTATGTTTGTGTATTTTGCCATAATTTCGGGGTTTAAGCCTTGACTACTTGCATAGGCTCAGAGTTGCAGAAATCGGCGAAATCCGAAGGCTCGTCGCCGTTTATCCAAGCCGAAACGGCATCTATGTGGTTATGTCTGATAAGATAACCAATGAGGACTACCTTGATTGTTTCGTTGTCTATCTGTCTGCCTTCGCTTTTAAGGCAAGACAACTCACGATAGCAAAAACCCGAAACGCCCGAGGGGTTTACCAAGGTTTCTACATTTAATATTTCTTTTAATGTCTTCATAGCGTCTAATTATTTATAGGGTTAAACTTGTTTTTAATTTGATATTGCAAATATAATTCAAGTTTTTGATATATCCAAATCTTTAACTTATTTTAACACTTGTTAAAAAATGTTAATCAGACGAAAATAATTTGAATAATATTTGCATATTCAAAATTATTGCCTTAACTTTGTGGCATAATAAGAAAGCGAAGTTTAACCCTTAAATAATTAAGACTATGGATGCAAACAATATCAAAATGGGCGAGCGCTATTTCAGAGGTGAAAACGGACGCCCCGTTTTCACCTCTTGTGCTGACGAAATGGACGCAAGGGGCGTTGATAATATGCGTGACGCCGTTGTTTTGTCTTACGATGAGGCAAGACGTGAAAGAAAAAGAATGATGGCTATGGATTTTGCTTGCTATTGTGGTCTTAATATCGAACCCATTAATTAAACCCCGAAAATGGCAAAATACAACATATACGACGAGTTTAATGCTTATGATAGCACCCTGACCCGAAAGGGTCTTATTAAGGCGTTGAAAGACCACGCCGAGAACTATTACGACGTGACGGGCAACGTCAGCACAAACGCCAACATTACGGCGTGTGTTGTTGCCGAGTTTGTGAAGTCGGGCAACGTGCTTGTCGCTACTGATATTATGAGCCATCCCGAACATTACAACCTCGCCGAGGTTTTTGCTGATGTCAGAAGTTAAGATTATGAACACAGCCGCACTGCTCGGCGTGGATTGCACGGGGTCTGCGCTTCAGCATTTCATTCACTTTGTCGGGGTCTGATAGTCCCGAACCCGAAACTACGACCACGACCTCGCCGTCGAATGCGTCTATGAGTTCCTTCGCCACCTCCTTGCTGACCTTCTCGGTCTGTATTGTAAGCCTTTGTCTTGTCATTTGTCCTTGTTTTTTATTCCGTTAACGTTTTTAATCTATCGGTATCTTTACCGCCTTGCAGTTGCTTGCGCCGTTCATTCGTGCGCACACGTTGAGAAGACGGCGTCGGGTTTCTGCATCCGAGGGCGGACTTGTGAGTTCCAAGACGTAACCGCCGTCCCTTTGCAGTCTGAAAAAACCGCTTGGGGTCTTGCCGTCGAAACTGAGGGTGTCGTCCGCACCCCTTGCCCCGAGTCTTACATATTGAGCCAAGGCTCGCATAGCCTCGCCCATTCCGTCGGTAGCCTCCTCGGGTATCTCAACACGTATCCGTGTCTGTCCCGTAACCGCCGACACTTGCCAAAAATTCGCTTGTATTGTCGCCATTTGTTTTTATGTTTTGTTTGGTTTGAACTTCACCGCCTTGCACTCGGTGTCGGTTGGTGTTTTAATCACATCGAATTCGATGGGATTGCCTTTCAGCAACTCAAAGCCGTACCAATTCCACTCTTTGAGGGTCTGCACGACCTCCGCAATATCCTCCAACTCATACGCCTCCCACGTTTTGAGATTGAGGAGGACGCAACTTTCGGGGAAGAACATTGCATCGTACTTGAACCAAACCACCTCGGGAATGTTTCCCGTCACGGGGTCGGGTATGCCCTCGGTCTTTGGCGATATGCTTTGGGGCGTGTTCGGTATCGGCAGAAAGCCGAGGGTCTGCACCGCCGTCAGTATCTCGGGGCGTATCACCTCACGCCGTGCCTCGGTGAAACTGAGGATGCGCCCCTTGGCTTGCGCCGTCAGCACCTCCGAGAGCGCCCGTTGGTCAGTTCCACCCGTGGCAAGGAGCGCCCCTTGGATGAGGCTCAACTGCTCCGCCGTAAGGGTCAGGCTGATTGTTTCTGTTGTTTCTTTGCTCATTTTATCGTGGTTTCGTAATGTGTCCGACATGACCCATTACTTGGTTAGGTTTCTCAATTCCCCAACCCGAAGACTTTAATGCCAAGACAAGGCGGTCGGGGGTGACAACCTCGCCATAGACAAGGCGGCAATAGGTATAGACGAACTCCCAAAGGACGGGGAGGGCGCTTGTGTTCGGTATGTGGGGGCGGTTCACCAAGTCCCAAAACCGCTCGCATACAGCGGTTATTCCGGGAAACTCACGGGGTGTTCCGCCCGCTATGTTGCCCGTCTTTGCGTAAGGCTCGGCGAGCCACTTGTTGAGGAAGACGGCGTTGTCAACCTCGCTGAATGTTTCGGGGTCGTTCGGCTGCCCCAAAGCCTTGCAGAGGGCGAGATACGCCCGTCCCCTATGCGCTATCACGAAGTCGTAGGTCTTGCCGACAAAACCACCCTGCTCCGCCCTTTTCATATCGGAACGGGTGATAGTGAGGGGGAAGCCCTTGTATCTCTCATATTGCGACATTATGCGCTTTAGTACAAGAGCCGTCGGCAACTTGAAGTGCGGTGTTTTTATTTCAATCTGCATTTTTTTCGTTCGTTTTCGTTTCTGTTTCCGATTTCGCCGTACCTTGCCATATCACCCGTCGGCTGAGTTCGTTGCCTTGTCGGTCGAACTTCACCACGGCGACACGCTCGGACGGCTGTTTCTTTTTTGCGTATGCCTTGCCCGCCTTCTCGGCGTTGGTGCGGAATAAGTAGTCATACCGCTCCGCACTCAGACGCTCGGAGGATTTCTTTGGGTGGAGGTATCTGTCGCCGACGGCAACGCACCACTCAAAGTCCGAAAGTGCAAGCACACCGCCGAATATTCCGCCCATCTACTCTACGTCCGCCTCCTTGTCGGTGTTGCTTACGGGTTCGCCCTCGGTGTCAAACTCTGACCAATCACGGCTCGGGAGTTCTGCCATCCGCTTGCCCTCGGTGTCGTACACACCGCCCCAAACTATCTGAGCAAGGGTCGGGTGGGTCTTCGCAAGCGCCGCCTCGTCGTGGTTGTCCTTAAAATAGGTCTTCATCACGGAATTCTCGGTGATAAGACGCATAATAACCGCCTCGTTGCTGTTGCCTTGTCGGCGGTCTGACTCCACGCCACGGCGCAAAGCCTCCGCCAACACGTCCCGTTTCCTTTCGGGTTTCTGAGCGGAGGTCGCCTTGCCCTTGCCCTTGCCCGCCGTCATTATGGCGAGCAACTCGTCGCTGTCCGTTTTAGGGTCATACTCACGACCCGTTACGGACTTAAAAAGTTCCTTATGATTCATTTTTTTTGCGTTTTTATTTCAGTATATCACAAAAATAACAAAAATAATTTGAATATGCAAGCAAAATTCAAATCATTTTTGTTAAATTATGTTAAGCGTGTGTCTAAATCGGGAGCGTCATCTGTCTTTTGTCCACGATAGGAACGACTATGAAGTAGGAGTCGGGGTCGGGTGTCGGCTCTATGTCGGCGAATTCGGGGTTCGCATCCCATTCCTTGAGGCTCTCGGTCAGTGTGTCACGCACCGCCACCGCCTGCTCACGGCTGAGGATTGTCGGCTTGTGCTTGTTTCGGTCTGTCTGAAACGACCCGAAAAGAGGGTCGCCCTTGTGCTGAGGGTGTTCGACCCAAAAACCGCCGTCTCGGTTGATAACGTTGTACTCCATACCGCTACCCCCCTTTCTTTGAGTTTCAAGAAGTCGCAACTGAACGAGCCACGGAAGCCTTCAAGGAATACAACCTCACTTGTGCCGAACATCTCGCTGTCTGTCGTGTTTGTCTTGAATGTTTCAGCGAGTTGCTGAAAGTCAGCGACGAAACACGGATGGTTGTGCTTTTCGGCGTTTACGGCATACATACCGAAACCCCGTCCTTGTTGCTCGCCCACGAATTGGTCTGAAGTATAAAACCAATCCCCACGGCGTGAAATACTGAGCCTTTGGGCGTGGGTTTTGCCCGTTGCGTCTATATGTTCGGCTGTGGCGTTAAGATAGCGTCCACAAGCCGATTTTTCAAATGTTACAGCCATATTATTGCGCTTTACAGATTAAACATTGCCTCAACAATATTAAAGAACTGCTCCGCATCCTTTTGGCAAGCCTTGACCTCCGGGCTTTCAGCCTTGTAGGCGTAGCCCTTTTCGTCCCAAGTTACGTAAGTACCAAGGGGGAGAACCTCGGGGTCGGGTGTATATGTAACATATCCGTTGCCGTCGGCTATTGCGGTATTTGGGGCGATTTCGGGGTCTGAGGCGTGTCTTCTGTAAGTCAGGTGCGAGCCGTTTCTCAAAAGGGCGTTGTCCCACGAAATAACATATATTTCTCGGTCGTCGTCAACGTTGCAGACGTTCACGCCTGCGCCGTCGTCAGTCCACCCAAGGAGGCGGACTTCAACAACACCCGAGGGGGTATTGCTGAGGTGGTATGTGTTGCCCATATAGTCTGACAAGTTGTCGGTATTTTGGGCGGTTGTCTTTATGCTATGTACGTTGAAAGGTAATCTCATACTTTAATTTTTTAAAAGTGAAGTATTAGTCGGCGTTGTATTCAACACGTTTGCGCTCCTTGCGGAGTTTGCGTGAAATCTTTTTGAGTTCAGCCTTGAGGGCGTTGCTTGTTGGCTTGCCGTGGTTTGCCTTGCGCTCGGTCTGAATATCAAACTCCAAACGCTTTGTGTTTGTGTGGGTTCGACCACTAACTACGGCGCACATATCTTTGGTAATTCTCATTTCTTTTATTGTTTTACGTAAAACATTAAGGAGGGGGAGGCTTGCTTGTTTCAAGCCGTCCCCCGAGGGGGTTAGATAAGGTCAACAGCCTCGCTTGGGGTTATGTCGCCCGCCTCGCAAACGGCGAGGAGAATGTCGGCAACGCCATAGTAACCTGCGGTTATCGCCTTGCGTCTGAGTGTCATATAACGCTCATCGCTGAGGTTGTTTATTGTCTTTTCAATCATCTGTCCGAGTGTGTTGTTTGTATTCATAGCGTTTTAAAATTTAAGGGTTTAACTTTGTTTTTTATTACGCTGTAAAGATAAGGCAAATAATTTGATTGTGCAAATATTTTTCAAGTTTTTTACAAAATATTTTTTAAGTTGCTGATTTTATGCAAGTTACAAAGGTTTAAAAATTGCATATTTTATACTATTTTTGTGGATTTTCGGGCGTTTTCGTGCTTGCAAGCCGTGTTTTTCGTGGTTTTCGTGGTTACGTCAATGCCTTAAAAAATCTAACTACCTGAATATCAAACATTTGCATTTTTAAGGTTTTTAAATCGAAATGTTAAAATCTGCATCCGCTTTATAAATCAATCAGTTACGGGCGTATTTTTGGATATGTTTAAATCTTTATGTTTTTTTTCTTTGGCTTGTCTTATATATAAGGCTTAAAAATTGCCGTTTTCGGGCGTTGTTTTCGTTTGCCTTATAAGTTGCAAGCATACGCCCGACAATGAGCCGAAACGCCCCAATTTTGAGCCGTTCAGCCGTTTAATTTATATTTATGGATTAAGACAACAAAGCCGATTTTCTGAGCCGTTCAGCCGTCTTGTTTTTTTTCTGCCGTCTTGTTTGGGTGTAAGCAAGACAATTATAAAAGATTGTCAAACCAACACTTTAAATTTAGTGTTTAAATAACACTTAAAAAACGATTGTATTTTAAACACTAATTATTTTGATTGTTAATTCGACACTTAAAAAAAGATTGTCAATAAAACACTCAATATTTTTGATTGTTTCAGTTACACCCATAAAAGATTGTAAACAAAACACCCATTTTTTTGTTGTCAAAAACACACCCAAAAAAATAAAGTGTCTGAAATACAATATTAAATTGATTGTTTAAATGACACTCAAAATAAATTGTAAATCAAACACTTTAAAAAGATTGTAAAACGCACACCCTAAACGGGAGGGCGGTTTCCGTCCGCTATCCGTTGATACAACTATGCTCGGGGTTCGGCTTGTTCATAAATTTTCGGGTTTGTAGTTGTTGTGTCCGAGTCGCTCGGTGAAATTGAACTTCTCGGCTATCTGCCTTGCCACTTCAAGGGGGAACACGCTCGCCGACTGCTTTACGGATGCGAATCGGTCGGTGGTCACGCCCGTTCGGCCGTTGTGCCGTCTGACGAGGTAGAGGTCGCCGCACGGATTGGGCAACACCACGATGGCGACGGGTTCAAGTGGCGGAATGACGAAGCCGAAGCGCCCGTCAGCCTCCTTGCTGAATTTGGCGATTTGTTCGTTCAGTTCGTCGAACGTGTCGGTCTTTGCGCTGAAAACAAGGCGGTGACCCGGACGGAGATAGACGGCGCACCGCCAATGTCGGTCGTATTCCGCCTTGGGCGCACTGAGG